ACTCCCTCCAGGGACCTGCTACCCACCCTCCTCCTCACCCCGCTTCAAACCAGGGCGCGCACCCTCATGCGACGTTGGGTGCAAAGAGGCCACCTCTCGGCCCCATCGAGCATCAGATGCTGGGGCAGGGGTGGGTGGCATCACCTCCCTGAGCAAACTGGTGGCCCCCGCAGCACCGGTGGCCCCGGTGCCACCAGCGCCGGCCCGTTTTGGGCGCGGACAATGGCGGTTTGTGCCGAGGTAAGCAGGTGCTTTCAGAGCCGTCCGTCTTCCCTCTGTCAGCATTACACCATCATTAGCTAGTGTCTGCTCAGCAGGGTGTGCCATTATGTCTCCCAGGGCTGATGTAATTATACATTGACATAATTAACCCAGCAAGCCCATTAAGCGGGCCAGCTAAAAATTCATCTATAATTATTTGTTGTGTGCATGCTAATGAGTCCATCTGCACTGCCATTGTACAACATGAACAAATTAATTTACAAGTCTGGATTTTTTAATAAGTTCAAGAAAATGCCTCCTATTGAGCCAGGTTAATATAGGTTTGGGTTGTGGGCTGGGTTTTTTTGGCCTTTTTTTTTTTTTTTAGAAAATAAGAGGAAAGAAAATAGATTCGAATTCTCCAGGGTCAAAAAGTTAGATAAACAGGGAAGTGGGACAGAGCCGGGTGCACTATTGTACGGCATGGACACGTGGCAGGCATCCAAAGGTAAAAAATCATAAGGGTGATGGAAAAAAAATTAAACAAACGTCTGCTTCCATGAAGAACAGGACACAGAGCAGCTCTTCTGCTCAGCGAGCGCCCAGCTGAGCTGGCAGCAGTGTGGGATGAGGGGGATCTGGTGCCACACGGGTTTTGGGGTGGTCTGGGGCTGCTCCAGCATAGCCCAACCACAGCATCTTTGGGGTGAACCTGCCTGAAAGACACAGGATTCGGCCTGTGATCCTCCCCACAACTGCCCAGCACGGATGCTCCTTGCAAATGAGTGAAGCCAAGACATGCATCCCCCAAAATGGGGTTTAGGGGTGCCCCCCATCCACCGCTGCCCTTTCATCCCGCAGCATCGCTGCCATGGGGTGAAGGGCCCCACCGCAGCACCTGCCACACCAAAAGCCTTCTCTGCGGGGAACATCCCCCCTTCTTTCCGCTGAGTGTGACAGAGACCCTGCAGATGCGCCGGGACACGGAGTTTGTGCCCAGATCCCGGCCACAGGGATGCATGCAGAGGGAGGTGCTGAGCCCTGCCTGCACGCTGCCGGCTTTGGCGCTGAAATGGGGACTCGGCTGCCTATGGGACCCTCCTGCGCTGCTCACAGCATCCTCCAGCTTGGCATCCTTGGGCTCACGGCACGCCACAGCTCAGCATCCCTTGGGCAGGCTCCCCACCCAAGGATGCGCCATCAAAGAGGGTCACGGCAATCCGGCACAGCCCCGAACCTGACGGGATGCTCTCGCAACCATTAGTAACACCCGTAAGTACGCGAGCTGAGATAACGATACAGCTAATTAAACCCCGCGCTCTGGGCCCCTGCTCACAGGCGGTGCGGGCTAGGGGTCTTCCCTGTGCTCCCCTAGCCCTGGTGGCTCCATGCCAACCTGCCCACAGGGATAAATGCTGGGGCAGAACCCGTCCCATCCATGCTGGCAACTCCTCTTGTCTCTGTGATGAGAAATAATACGGGAGGAACTGGCCCGAGCGATAAAGCTCAAGTGATTTTCCTCAGGTCTGCGTTTTCCCTCCCGCAACCCACAGCCCCACGCCTGAAATATAGCCGGGGCGATGCCCCAGTGCTCAGTTGGAGCCGACATCCCGGGATGAAGTGGTTGGGAGTGGAGGTTTAGAAGGGAAAAGAACAAGAGGCGCTTCAGCTCCTCTCCCAACATCAGCTGGGGAGCACCGACACAAAACACCCGGCTGGATTAATTACATCACGCTGATATCTCCTCGGCTGTGGGGCTGGCTCTGTCACCACATGTGAGGTGTGCGGATGCACCATGGAGCTGCCAGGACCCGGCATCGAGCTCACATCATGCTCACACCAAATTTACACCAAGTTTTGCACCAAATTTACACCAAGTTTTGCACCACGCTCACGCCGTGCAGATGGCCAACAAACCCTCCTGTCACGGGGCTGGAGAGAGGAGGCATTCAAACCCGAGCACACGTTCACCCACATATATAGACACAGATATATTTTATATATATGTAATAATTGCTGCCACTAGCTGGCGTTATTGGCCGTCCTTTTGTGGCCCTGGCAGTGCTGCAGCAGGGACAGGAGCGCTGAGCAGGGGTCCCCCCTGGTGTGCCCAGCTCTGGCATGGGGGAGCAGAGCTGGAGGGGCTTTCCTGATGCTGGAGGGGGTCTGGGTCGCTGGCGAACCCACTCCCCAACACCCCCATCGCAGCACCACGCAGGTGCTAGAGCACACATGGGATGGCAGGATGGGTCCGGGTGCTCATCACCTTTTCCTGAGTGTGCGCCCGTGTCCCTGAGGAGCAGGGTTCAGCCGCTCGACCCGGTTTTCGGCTGAAGTCTCCACGCCAGAGGCTGAAGGGTGACATCTCCATGCTGCTGCCTGGCTCCGAAAGGAGCACAAGGCACCCATGGGGCACCCACAGTGCATCCCTAACGCATCCAGACACACACACGGTGCGTCCACGGTAGCGCCCCGGCACACCCGCAGTGCCGTCGCCTCTCCCACAGCGGTGGCGCTTCCTCCCCATCCCAACCTCCTCAAATGCATCCACTGGCGCCCTGCAAATCCCTCTACGAGTCAAAGTCAGCCCTAAATCAAATCATCCCCAACAACAATGACATTAATTATGCTTTTAACACATTTTACTGCTTCCCCCCCTTCCCTTCACGCCACATCTGTGTGAACAATATCCAAAAGATTTACGGTTTTCTCCCGTAATTACAGACACACAGCCAGCTCACTTATCAAAATACTTGCTGAGCAATCAGGCTCCGTTACAGTCTCTGCCAGAGATTTGTGTTGACAGCAGCCATTCAAAGCAAAAAATGTCGAATCAGGACTTATGTGGCGCTTGTAAAGTATTCCACAAAGAGTTTGCCTGTCGAGAGACACACGGACACGGAACAGACAGGGACAAAACGAGGGGCAGGAGGATTTGGGGAGCGGGAGGGGAGCAAGAGATGGATGCTGCGTGAGAGCAGAGGGAGGGGAGGAGGAGGAGCAGGGATGCAGAGCACACAGGGGAGCAGTTTTGGGGTTTGCATGTGTGTGCATCCATGGGCAAGCAGGAGGAGCCCGGCGGGTGGGCAAGGGGAGGTGGGGAGGGAAGATAACTGGGTTCTGGAAACCGCGCTGACATTTGGTTCTCGTAGCGCAGGAGAAAATTTAATGAGGACAAAAATACGTCTCCCTAATTCCCCTAAGAAATCATTAAAACATTTTGTTATTCCTAAATGTCTGGAAAATGAATTAGTGGCCCTGCAGGAGCCCTTCTGCGCGTCTTCAGACGTTTGCAGCTCTCC